CTGTGCCAGGTGAAGGACAGGATTCGCGGCACTGTGCGGTTCATCTTCCAGCACGCGGAGGAGGTGATTCCAAGTGGGGCGAAGCAACTCGTGGAGCTGGGTGTTCTTGATGGCGTCAAGATGATATTTGGGCTTTCTGTTGATGCCACAAAGCCGTCGGGGACTGTTTTCTGTAAGAGTGGTGTTATGATGGGAGCCTGCAATGACTTTGATATTGTAATCAAGGGGGCGGGTGGTCACGCTTCTCAGCCTGAGCTTTGCATTGACCCCATCGTGGTCGCCGCTCATGTAGTGACAAGCCTGCAGACGATTGTGTCGCGCCGCATCGGCGCTCTGAAGGCTCCCGTGCTGAGCATCTCTACGTTTCACGGTGGGACTGGCAGCTACAACGTGATCCCCGACACTGTACACTTACGAGGCACCCTGCGCTGCCTGGACCGCGACGTTCAAGCACGTGTTCCTGGAATGGTAGAGGAAATTGTCGCTGGCGTGGCGAAGGCGCACGGTGCCCAACATGAGGTGAGTTGGCTGGAGCCTAACATCGTAACGTACAACGATCCAGCAGCTTATGAAGTTGTGAAGTGTGTTGCAAAACGTGTAGTTGGGGGTGCTTCTTTTGAGGAGCTTCAGACAGCGCTGATGGGCGTTGCGGATTTCTCGGAGTATGCTGCAAAGGTGCCAGGCTGTCTGTTCTGGCTTGGGGTGGGGGAAGATGCCAAGGATTCGGCAAACAGCCATAATTATAGTTCACGGTTTCACATGAACGAGGCAGCCATGGAAGAAGGTGTGAAGATGTTTGTAGGGTTGTTGGCCACACTGTCAATGTCAGGTGGCTCTTTGGCTGGCTAGTGGTCTTTCTGTTTGTCGTGTACAACCTTGATGGAGGGTCAACCTTGGGGCGCAGCTGTAGCTTTGTTACAATATTGCTGCATCATCGTTGTTTTCCAATGCAGCACGGTTTGAAAGTATATTGGGCCTAATAGAATTAATCGACAGAAAGTATAATTTTATCTCATGCTATATGGCAATACAGTTTCTAGAGGTGATGTTTTCATGAATATCCAGTTTCGTTCTTCTTGTCGTGTAGCTTTTTTGTCAGTTTACATCCATGATTAAACGGGCCTTTTTTTCACATACGTTTGTCTGTAGGAATGGATGTCTTGCCACTTCCTCTGTCCGCTGCTCTCTGCTGTCCGATGTGGCGTTGAGGTCTGCATTTCGCCGTGTTTGCGCCGAGGAGGGTGTGGGCTTGCAAGAGGGCGTATCGGAAGAAATATTGGCGTCCGCCATTGCGCAACCCGGGCTGTTCTCAGTTGAGGATGCCAAGACAAAACTGAGGTTGTCGTCAGCTGTCACTGTAGATGGCGGCATGGTCTTCATGACGGCGGACGGTGGGCGTGAGCTAGGCGAGGTTGAGTCAGTGCTGATGAAGGTGGCGGCGAAAATTCCCCCGTCGGGTGTGAGTGGCTCACAGCTGCAGGCGATACTGGAAGATGAGGCGCCGTACTTTCAGCCCTCCGCAATGGGGGCCCTTTCTCTCAAGGATGCGATTCAGGCCTACCCGAATGTTTTCATCGTCGACACAGACTCCACTGGGAAGTGGATGGTGAGGGCAGCCGGTAGTGCGAGGCCCAGTGTGCCGGTGACCAGCCGTGGACCGCTCAGAATCGTCGACTTCTGCCGACGAAGGGCGTTGTTGGGCCAGCAAAGCTCCTACACACCTTTGAGGGTCGCCATGCAGAAAACAGATCTCACAGATAAAGGGCTTCTGAGGGAGTTGGTAACGGATGAAGAGGCTTCAAAAGCACTGGAGGTGAGGTTGTCTGTTAGTGTGAAACCGAAGCGTTCACCGGCTAATGCCTTTTGCTTCATTGATGGCAGTGAAATCGGCACCAAGGCGGTCGATGCCATGTGGAAAGGACTGTGTCTTTCGGATCAATCAACTCGTATTGTGGCACGACATCCAGCTTCACCCAAGCACAGTAGCACAGACATTGTTGCACCGGAGGAAATGCCAACTTACGCAGTTTTGGAGCTTAAAGCGAAAGAGCTAACGATGCGTCATTCTGTCATACTCCAAGACATCATTTACATGTGCTCATCAAGGCAGTTTGTGATGTACTCGGAGCATGTCGCTAAGCTGAATGCGTTCCCTGATTCAGATGTGTACGTGTGCTGTCCGAGTAGAGTGGAGTTAGTGGCAGAGAAACAGTACGTTCCTTTGTGACCTCATCTAGGTGCAGGGTCTTTCGTTCACAGCCCTGGGTTCTAAAACCAAACACTGAGAGTAATGCATAAGTGCAATTGATGCTGCTTTTCGCTCTGTCCTTGTCACCGAAAGTTAGAGGAATTATTTCTTTCTTCTTTTTGTTGCCTTATCAACAATGTAGTTCTAGCAGCCATGCTTTTGCGCCGCTCTGGCGCATTGCTCTTCCGCAGAACACCTTTGTGGCTTGCCGATGATGGAGCTGGACTTTTTGAGCGTTACACAGAAATTGACAATTCTAACGAGCGGCGAATAAATGCACTGAAAGCTTGCGGAATGTTTGATGACGAGTGGATTGCCACCGAAAAGGTGCACGGCGCCAACTTCGGGCTCTATTCTATCGACGGTGATAAAATGATACGCTACGCGAAACGAAGTGGGATAATGTCGCCCACAGAGCATTTCTTTGGTTATCACATTTTGGTTCCTCAACTGGAGCAGTGCGCCACTGCCATCCGCGAGATGCTCTGTAGCAAGCTGCAAAAGAAGCTTCACACTGTTCTTGTGAACGGCGAGCTTTTTGGGGGAAAGTATGACCATCCGAGTCTACCAAAGTCGCGGAAGACAGTTATGGTAGCAGGTAAGCCGCGAACGATTAGTGCTGTGCAAACAGATTCGTTCCCCCAGTACAGCCCCGATCTCCACTTCTATGCATTTGACATCAAGTACAAGGAGAGCGCGGACGCCGAGTACATTACCCTTACATTTGACGAGGCGACGGAGTTGTTTCAGAATGTTCCGGGTCTGCTGTACGCAAGAGCTATCATTCGAGGCCCCATGTCAAAAGTCGCGGCCTTTGATGTGGAGNATGGTCCGGGTCTGCTGTACGCAAGAGCTATCATTCGAGGCCCCATGTCAAAAGTCGCGGCCTTTGATGTGGAGCACTTCGTCACGACTATTCCCCCGCTTGTGGGGATGGGCAACTACCCACTCAAAGGCAACTGGGCGGAGGGACTCGTGGTGAAGCATGCGAGACGGGGAACGCCGGGCTTCGACCCGAAGGGGCTGACAATCCTGAAATTCAAATGCACCGCGTTCCAGGAGATATCCACCGACAGGCGCCAGGGACCGCGTGTGGACGAGATGGAAAGCGTGAGGCGAGACTCTATTAGTCGCTCAGGTGTGCAGCTTCCCGACCTGGAGAGTGTCGTACAGGACCCGGTGCAGCTGGAGGCTTCACGCTTCCTGCTCGATCACGTCTGTGAGAATCGTCTGAACAGTGTTCTGTCGAAGATTGGGACGGAGCCGTTCGAGAAGGAGGAAATGACGTCCGATGAGTTGGCGACGCTGCTAGCCAAGGACGCCCTGAAGGACTTTCTCAAGGACGCAGACCCCGCCATTGTGAACACGCCTATACTGACACGAAGGGACATGGCTAGGTACGTCTTGTTCGAGTCGAGAAGGTTGGTGTGCTCGCGCTGGAAGAATATTCTTCAGCGGCAGGCATCAGACACAGGTGGATGATGGAGGGAGGACGAGGCCGGGAAGAGGCTGCGGGCATGTGTGTGGGCCCCCCCCCNAAAAAAAAAAAAAAAGATCATGGCTCATCTTGGACGCAAACGCTAGGCTTGTGGTCTTTTTTGCATTCAATTCCCTTGTGTGTATGGGTGTGTGCGTGTCTCGGTTCCTCTTTCTCTTTTTTCTTTCTTTCTCTCTCTTTCTCTCTCCTTCCTTTTTATTTCTGATTTACAGGCGTGTATAGAACGGTGGACATTGTAAGGGTGGGTGAGGGAGGGTGAGGCATGCGTGGGTTTCATCGGGTAGTGCAGATTAGTCAAAGGTTCGGCGTGGCGAGGCGCTTTCAGCGTCATGGAGTATCGCGTGAAGTGGTGCTCACGCGCTGGAACGCTAGTCCTGCTGAACCTAGGGAGGAAGAAGCAGCGACAGGTGTGGTCGGTAAGGGCATGAAGTTTGCGTCCACAATCGCCAGCGGTGGACGGGGATCGCCTCGCAGCGGTGTCGCCTCGACGATTGGCGACGTCAGCTGGGACCTCTGTGAGCGGCTGGACTTTTACGTGCAGTACAGTGTTCCGTCCAACTGGCTGGTGACAGAGCGAGTGAGCGAGAATAGCGTTGCGATTCAGTGCAGACCACCGATGACGGGCGGTGACGGGGAGCAGCCAACGGTTCATGGTTTTTCGCTCAATTGCTTCGCGTACAAACAGAAGTTGAAAGAGACGGACAGTGAGAAGCTGCTGAATCTCTTCCTGCAGCGCTTCAATGCCTCTGTCTCTAACTCCATGGAGGTGCTATCACAGTCAGCGGGTCGGGGAGGCAGTGACAGGGGCTCCGATGCGTCCGAGACAAACACCAGTGAGAGACTGGCGAGCAGGCTGGGCTGTGCTGTGGCGGAAATCACCTTCACGCCGGCCTCTGGTGAGCCGGTGGCCCACGGACTCTGTCGTGCCTTCTACAACTCAAATCACAGATTCCATTACGTTGTCGTGGTTGCTGTTCCGGAGGATGAGTTTGAGGTGTCGAAGGATCTTCTCACACACGCGTTGCTGGCGGTCGTGGAGAGCCGAGTAGAAGCCGCTGCAAAACGAACTTAAGAAGAGAAAAGGAAAGCGTCTTCATTTTTGTCATGTGAGACTGTTGAGGGAATGCCATTTCCGCACGTGTTGCTTTTTTTTGGGGGGGGGGCTAGTTACCGCTGATGCTGCTGCTTTTGTTCTTATTCTTTGTTGACAAATCCGCAGCTTGTCTTTTCTCTCCTCCATTATCTTTCGTTTGCAGCCGATACACAAAGAATAACGACAGCCGCAGGTGGAAATGGCGAGTAAACTCGAGGCTAGTGAGGCTACACCGTCGGGATCTTCGACGGGCGTCATGCTTCGTGAGCACAGCAATGAGAATTTGCTCAAGTTCGACACCCACGACAAGTACTCTACGACGTCTGCTATTAGAAAGATGATTATGAAGGAGCTTCCGCCACCCAAGACGAATCTGCCCCCGCAGCCGTTGTTCAATGGTCTCATCCGCATCGGAAAAAATCCGAATTCACCTCTTCTCTTTTTGGCATTCCAGACGCCCGAAGAAAGCGCCGCTGCTGCCGAGCTACTGCGGGGGATGCTCTTCAGAGGAAAAAAACAATGGTACGAGGTGCCGGTGACACAACGGGATCTCCAGCTTACCCACAAGGGCGGTGGAAAAAAGCGGTCGCGTGACGAGGAGACAGCAGAGACCTCAGGGCAAAGCAAAGTGTCAAAGTGGGAGGGCTGTGCAATAGAGGAGCAGCTCTCGCGGAAGAAGCGTCACTGTCTGCAGGTCATGAAGGCGATTGCCCCTTCAAAGGAGACGTATGAGCAGCTCTTCACGGGCATTCACGCAAGTCCCGAATTAACTGGTTATCGCAACCATGTTCAGCTCTCGTTTGGTTACACGGAGAGTGGCGAGCCCTCAATTGGGTTTCTTAAAGGTTCTATGGTGGAGGGAACGTGCGCCATCGACTCCGTACTGGAAAAGGACATTGTGACCATGCATCCGCTGGCGAAGGCGGTGGCACACACTGTGCTGTCAGTACAGAATGAGTTCTCCGCCCCCGACAAGGGTGGGTTGAAAGTATTTGACAAAATAACACAGCAGGGGTTCTGGCGGAAGCTTCAGGTGCGACACAATGTTCTTGGTGAAACTATGGTAGATGTCGAGGTCGACATTGAAAGTGTTGAGGAATCAGTGGCAAATGAAGTGAAGGAGCGACTATCGGCTGTGCTGCAAAGTGACGATCTGAAGACGCAGTTGCAAGCGGTCACTGGAAAGGACACTGCTGCCATTGTAAGTGCGCAGTATCACCACGGCACTGGAATCAGTTCCCCTCCGTCGGACGTGCCACGTCACATTCTTTTTGGTGCGCCGACACTTACGGAGCACCTCTCGGGTCGTCAGTTTGAGCTAAGCCCCACATCCTTTTTCCAGATCAACACGGCAGGGATGGAGTTGCTGCTGCGCGAGACAGTGGCGGTGGCGGCGTTGAGTACGGCCACAACGCTGCTGGATCTCTGCTGCGGCACCGGCACCATAGGCCTTACTCTCGCACGGTACGTGAAGCGGGTGATTGGCATAGAGCTCGTGGCGTCGGCAGTGCAGGATGCGAAGCTGAATGCCGAGCGCAACAATGTGACCAACGCCACGTTTCACTGCGGGCGTGTAGAGCAGCTCCTGCCTGACGTCATCAACGCGTTGCCAGCAGAAGACCGAGCCGATATTGTGGCTATTCTCGACCCTCCCCGGGCCGGTGTGACACCGACCGTGCTGAAGTGGATACGCGGCACCCCGACCATTCGACGGGTGGTATACATCTCCTGTGAGCAGAAGGCACTGGAGCGCGACTGCCCGCCGTTGACGAAGCCTACCACGAAGGCGTACCGCGGGCTACCGTTCGTGGTGGCGGCGGGCTTCGCCGTGGATCTCTTCCCCCATACTCCGCACGTGGAGATGGTGGTAGTGCTTGCTCGCTGTGAGGATGAGGCGAGCGAGGGCGAATAAATGCACACCTGCCTCTTTTGGGGGGTTTTCGATTAACCAACCGTACTGATGGTCCTTTTCTTTTTCTTTCTGCTACTACAATTACTACTACTACTACTACTACTACTACTATTATTATTATTATTGTTTTTTTTTGACTTGTTGAGTCACTGCGCAAGGGGTCTTCCATTTAGGAGTGCTATGCAAGCAAGGTGTGCCTTTTTTTTCTCTCGTTCTCTCTCTCTCTCTCTCTCTCCACTCTCTTGGCATTGCACCTTTCCCTGTGGAGGTATTTGTTTGGTGTGCTTTGCCAGTCGCAATAGAGGAAGCGATGTCTGCGTGGGCTTCCGGCAATTTAGCCGAAAAGCTGAAGCAACAAAAAGTGGCTGCTCTGAACGGCAAGGATGCACTTTCACCGCAAGCAGCCGCTTCAATTTCTGCGACCCCGTCTACCACCAGTAACAAAAAGAATAACAACGATGCCCCGTCCCCCACTCCTATTTTGCCTCCACCCACTGTGGACAACATTGTTGCGCACCCCCAGAAGCTGCAGCCGGTAGACTCGTCTGTCGGAAAAAAACAGCCACAGCATGAAGAAGCAGGCTCACTTGTGCATTTCGGCCAGCTCTCACTCCCTCAGGATATAGCGAAGCTCGTGTCGGTGGAGTTTACGTTTGTCGGTACCATGAGGACGCCCCAGCCGCCGTTAGAGGAGGCCAAACGCCCCCCGGCCCCCAGAACCCCAGAGACGTTGGCAACAGCAACAACGATGGTGCCACGACACGCACATGCACACCACAGCCCGCCGCATATGGATAATGCAAGCCATTCGTACCCGGTGCACCATCACCACCATCACCATTACCATCATCATCAACACCATCACCAACAGCAACAGCAACCGCAACAACACCAACAGCAACGTAATTATATGCATCAAGGGATGCCGGGGCATACGTACCATGATGCATACAACTCAATGCCGTATAATATGAGCCCTTATGCTGCGCCGTACCACCCCCGCATGTACGACGGGTACCCTGGCATGGGCATGGGCATGGGTATGGGCATGGGCATGGGCATGTATGGTGGCATGAACGACTATGGCGGTTTCTCGCTCCAGGGACGACCTGCATACTATCCGCCGCCGCAAAACCAGACGGGGCCTTACATGCCACCGCCTCAGCAGTAGGCTCTATGGAGAATTTGTGTGTTTATCGGTGTCTGTTGAAGTGACAGCTGATGTGCATGGGTGTGTGTACCCTCAGGCGCCCTATTGTTTCGCAGATGCTATTGATGAGTGGAATGAAGAGCAACAACTTTTTGGGTGTGTGTGTGTGTGTGTGTGGAAACCCTTTGGAGGGGAAAGGAACCAGATAGTGGGGCGTGCGACTCTAAAAACATAGGATCCCCTACTACATATGCGTCATTCGTAGATCAGATTTTCTCCGCTCGCGTTACGCCCTCTATGTCTTTGTTTCTCCCTCCAAATTTAAGAGCCAGTAAAACGTTAACTATATCTGCGCTTAAACGAGACTATGTTTCATACATACTTTCTGTCTTTCACTATCAAGGTGGAGCTTGTGTTAATATGTATCCTGATCCCCTTGTGTTCTCTTTTTTTTTTGGTTTGGGAGTGGGCTGCTTAGTCCCACGTCAAGCAGAATAATTCGGCGAAACTGACAATGTGTGCTGCGAGTCTTGTTTAGTGCCGTGGCGGCGACTGAGAAGATTGCCCAGTGGCCTCGCCGAGCCTGAATGCAAGGCTGATGGAAAGGATCTGGCGTGGCGTGCTCGCAATGCCGTTTCGCCGATGATTTTATTGCTGTCCTTTTTTTGTCGGCGCGAGACAGCAACCCGATGAATCGCCTCATTGGGCGCATTAACTTTGTCCAAGCGCGGATGCTCAGGGGGGCGAGCTGCTTTGTCGCCTTTTTAGCACACACACACACACACACACACACACACACACACACACACAATGATCAGCCGCTGTGGATGGATATGGTCTTTTTTCAAGCAGAGGTATACCGCCTTTTAAGCGGCGTCTTGTCTTCACACCGCGCTGCGGTCAGTTAGAATGAGGGGTGGTGGTTGCGGCTGCGTGAGGGACGTCTGCACGTCGGCGACGAGGCATTTTCTCTTAACAGCCGGCATGGCCAACGCGCGCAGAGTTTTAGAGGCGATTGCCGCGCCCATAGGGGCGAGGCCATGGAAGGCTCTGCTGGGGGACGGCTCCGCTCTTCCCAGTGGGCAAGAGAGGCACTGGGGGAGGGGTGGGAAAACGCTCTCGCTTGTTAGCGAGGCATACACCGAAGTGCCAAGATGCCACTTGGGCGCAAGGAATAGTTCGAACGGGAGGCGAGTGCTGCCCGGATGGTCTATTCAAGGTTGGGTGGGGGGCGGAGGTATGGCCGCGGGTTGGGGGAGTCCCTGAGGGTAAGGGGGAGGTTCCGACCAGCATCTCGCGCTGTGGGGCGTAAAGGCCGCGTCTCCTGGAGGAGATCACTGCTGTGAGAATAGCACAGGAGCTGTGGACGGCCTGCCCGCTTCTCTAAAACCAGGATGCCGGCGTCTCCAGAAGAAGGAAAGAAAAAAAAAACAAATAGCAAGGAACATGAGCTATCACAGAGAACGCAGTCGGAGTGCTCTCGCCTCTGTATCTAACGCGAGCCCCAAGGTCGCTGCCGACTCACCTCCACTACAACACGGCTGAGAAATTATGACAGTTCGGCGCGTCATTAACGAAGCTGTACTCCACGCAATCTGTGTACACACACAGAAGCGGGGTTTATTCTAGGAGCGGGTTTGCCCATTCCTCTGGGGCGTCTGTGTGTGCGGGTTAACTTCTTCTCGTTGTGCTCATGTCACTCTTGCTGTGCCGCATGCCGGCGTATATATACACAAAAGGGGTGGAAGGGTCACGCTCAGCGAAACGCAGACATACACACAAAGCAACACGTAAGCAAGGGGACAAAAAAAAAAGGAAGGAGCACCACAATGTCTGCAGAGAGCATCTATCGAGATGCGGAAAAAAAGATCAACAAGATGTTCTTCAATGACTACGAAGGTGCAATGGAGCTGTTTGAGAAGGCGGCTTCTCGATTCAAGGTCGACAAGGACTACAACCGGGCCGGTGAGGCGTATGTGCGTGCCGGCGATTGCGCGGTGAAGTGCAAGGACGAAGCTGCCGCCTCGCAGGCGTACATCAACGCTGTCAACGCCTACAGAAAGACGGACCTCAAGAGGGCTGCGCAGCTGCTGGACACAGCCATCCGCGCGCAGATCGACAGCAACCGGCTGAGTGGTGCTGCCCGTCTCGAAAAGGAATTCGCAGATGCCTTGTACGAGGCGGGCCAGACGATGGAGGCTGTCCCGCACTACGAGAAGGCCGTGCAGTACTTTGCCGCGGAGGATATGAAGCTGCAGGCACAGAGCTGTACCGTTGCTATGGCAAAAATCTATGGCGAAAACGACGAGTTTGATAAAGCCTTGACCCTGTACGAGCGACTCGGCAACATGACCACGGAGGGCCCATTGCGCCACGATGCAAAGGAGTACTTTATGCGGGCAATGCTTTGCCGCCTCGCCACTGTGAGGGACGACAACCGCTACGAGAAGTCGGCCGAAGCCGCAGAAGCGCTGAGCACCTACATGACGCGTGATATATACTTGAAAAACACGCGGGAGGCGGAATTCCTGCAGATGTGTACTGAAGCGGTGGAGGGGTCTGACATTGAGAAGTTTGAGACGGCAGTTTCTCTCCTGCAGGAGATTCGTAAGCTGGATGATTGGAAGACACACGTGCTGCTGGTTGTCAAGCGAAATATGGAGAGCATATTGTGAAATGTGATGTTGGCGTGGCGCGTCGTTTCTCCTTCTGCTTCCACTGTCACCCAGTTGCTCTTGCCCGCCAGTCGTTTAATTTAAACCTTTTGGGTGTGGAACAGGTAGTATGTTAATACTTTTTCGCTTGTTTATTTTTTGCTTCCTTCTGTCGTTATTTTTACTTTTCACTTGTGCGAAGCGCGCCTCGTGTAGGCACCGAGCGGATGGAGCCGGTGACAGGGGGCGGGATTCTTCTTCACAAGGCAAAGTGCCCTCTGACCGATGAGGCAGAGCTGCAGGCGGTACTCGCAGACGCAAAGGCAGCGGCAGCCGTTGGCGGTGTGTGGCACACGGTTCGGCTGCTCGCCTCTCGCGCGCGCAGCACGCTTCAGTCGGGGCGAGGCGACCTCGCGCTTCCACTCGTCACGACGGCGATTGACCTCTGCCCGGAACCCTACAGGCGGCTGGCGTTGCTGCACAGTGAAGACAGTGTGCAGGGCGGCTGTGCGCTGGCGCAGTCCATGGTCGCCACACCCGACTGGCAGTACCGTGACAGAGACGCGATTGCCGTTGTGTGCACCGCGATGGTGGTGTGGCACGGCGCTGTGGCATCTACGGCGGATGTGAGTAGCTGTCCGCATCGCTTCCTGCGGTTTTCCCATCGCGTCGGGCACGTTCTCACGGCAGTCATGACTGACGCCGAGAACCTCCATAGCCTGAGCGCGTGTTGGCTGTACAACACGCTCGCCTTCGCCCACCGCTCAAAGAAGACACAGGAGGTGGCGTTTTACCTCCTGGAGGAGTTGCGCGATGAGGCGTCGCCCTCGGACTTGGTGGATGTGAGTGAGTGGCGACTGGTGTGTTGCACCGGCGGCAACGCGTGCGTTCGTGAGGGCCTTCGTGGGACGCAGGTGGCTGCGGTGTGGCAGCGCCTGTGTGCGACGCTGTACGCTGAGGGGTGCGCGCTGCTGCACGCGTCGCAGGAGAAGGTGTGCCGCCGCGCCGCCGATGCGATGGACGTCTTGCGGCGCAGCCTCACTGGCGAGCCGACGCACTACGTGACGGACGTTCGAAGGCCGCTCAGTCTTGATCCTCGGGAGGCGGTGTTCCTCCACGACTCCGCCGCAAGTGCCGATTTGTGTGTTCCACGGGAAGCGTTTGCGCCGCTTCGCGTGGCGTGTTTTTTAAGGTGTGTCGCAGGGCGAAATACATGCGGCTCGTCTGTCAACTACCCGCTGGCTTCTGTGGCGGGCGCTGTGGCCCTCGCGTATCGGCACCGCCACGGCGACATCGCGGAGGAGATCCTCCGAGCGGGACTGACGGACGGTACGGGTGAAGGCTCCTTGGTTGCGTGGGGCGAAGAGCTCGAGTCCATCCTTGACGGGTTGATGCTTCCGCCCGGTGGAGGCTTTGGTTCCACGGAGTTGGCGAAGCGCTGCCGCGGTGTTGCGCGTCGACGCTTAGGCGAGCCCGAGCCACTGCTACACGCGGCAGTACAGGAGTGGCGCGCTGCCGATGTGCTGCGCGTGCTGGCGCTTTCCCACACCCTCGAGGAGCTGCTCCCAGCCGGCGTGGCGGTACTGCGCGGCGACGCCACGGTCGGGCGTCGGCTGCTTGGGGACATAATTGCCCCATCGTTAGTTCTTGATGGATTGGTTCGACTCATCCTTCGCCTCGTGGACGAGGGGGACGCACCGCTCGCGAGGTGTTTTCTCCCCCTGGTGGCCGGCATCTGCGTGCGGATGCCGTCGCAGGCGAATCTACTGGTGACGCTGCAGGCGGTCGCCGCCTTTGCTCGCTGCTGCTTGGATTTTAGCTCCCGCCAACTGGAAGGCGTTCAGCGCTGGGAGGGCGTTGCCAAGGCACTCCTACCTCTGCTGCCACCACGCTGTTCTGCACTGGGGCCGCCTTACCGACAGACAAAGGCAACAGTGGTGGGACGCACATTTGCCGCGAGACGCCGTGTGTTTGGCGCACTTCGCGGTGGTGTCCCCACAGAGGGCAACGCCTCTCGATGCTGTCAGCTGCAGGTGCTCTTGGCGGGCGAAGGCAAAGAGGGAGTGCGTCTCCTCCGCAGGAGCGGTGTTGATGGGGTTTCGCAGTGGGAGAAGGTGCTCCCCATCGAGGAGGTGCTGCTAAAGATGGTGGACCGCACGCGGGAGATTGAGCTGCAGAACAGGCGGCATCTCAACGCTTTGCCAAGGAAGGAGGATGCGTCATTGCTTGGAGATGGCCACTCCGGGGCCGAAAAGACGCCCTGTAACGGAGACAGCGGTGCTGATTGTGGTGGTGAAGCAACGGAGCAGGACAGTAAGGAGCGGGCGGATTGGTGGGAACAGCGGCATGCGCTGGACCGTGCACTGCGTGAAGTGGTTGAGGTGTTACAGTCAGACGAGGCCTTTGGATGCTGGCGACTGTCCATGTGTGGTGACTTGTCTCCAACCTGCATGCTGGAGCTGCAAAGTCTGGCTGCCCAGCTGCTGCTTACCCTCCACGCCCCAGCGCATCACACAGACGATGTGATGCTGATGTTAGCTGGCCTTCCATTTATTGGGGCGCGTTATTCGCTCAGGGAGAAACTTCTCTTTAGTCCTTCGCATGTGCATCTTGGGGGCCCATGTCATGCGTGTGAAGAAGTGTTGGTGAAGCTCTCAGAGGCGTTAAGGAGCGAGCTGCTCAACCGCGGCATCGCTGCGCCCTCGAACGAACTTTGGGATGTCTCCCGTGACATCTGCTTCCGTGCTCTTTCTGCAATGTGTACTACGAATGAGTATCGACAGCAACAACAAGAAACACAGCGACATCAGGAGAAGCAGGGAAGCTTTGACCATGTGGATTTGTTTGAGCTTCCTCGTACTCATGTGTATCTTGCGCTAGACAATGAACTTCACTGTCTTCCGTTTGAGGGAATTGACGTGCTTCGGACCGGCAGCGTTTCCCGCGTCCCAACAGCCACATTTGTGTCTGAGAGCAATGGACGCGCGGCGCTTCTGGGTGACGGTGTGGCGTACTGTGTGATCGACCCCCATGGGGTCATGCCAAAGACGGTCAAGCGCCTGTTGCCAGTGTGCCAGCGGGGGGGTTGGCGAGTGAAGTCTCAGAGCATGCCGTCTGGCGAGTTGTTGCGCGAGGTGTATGCATCTGGGGCTCGGCTTTACGTCTATGCGGGGCACGGAAAAGGCGGGTGCGTGGTGCGGCCCGAAGAGCTGTACGAGCGGTTCCCTGATCCATGTCAATTCCCCGCCGTCTTCCTCATGGGCTGCAGCAGCGCATACATGGATGGTGGATCATCGTACGACTGTTACGGCATGCCGTATGCCTACCTTCACGCAGGATGCCCTCTGTTCGTTGGCTGTCTGTGGCACGTGACTGATGGTGAAATTGATCGACTGACGAAGCGCTTGCTGCTGTTGGTTGCGGGTGATGTTGCCAGCGGCGGCAATGACTGCTGTGGACGCCACCCACAGACTATTGGAGAGGCCCTGGCAATGGCGCGACAAGCCTGCAAGCTGCCTTTCCTCACAGGATGCTCCACAGTCCTGTACGGAGTGAATCTACCCCTGCGGAGCGATGACGGGAAATAGAGATTTCCCCTTCTGTTGGATTGCAATGGACTGTGACCTGTTTTCTTCGTTTGCTTGCTTGTTTTATGTTGTTTGCTTTGGACAATTTCTTTTTGTTGTGCTCGACATCTCTGTGTTTCTCGCCCATCCGCGTCGCCGTCGCTGATGTCTTTCTTGTCACCAGAATAAAGTGGGTTGGAGGGCTTTACTAAGGTTTCTAAACCAAATGAATGGTGCTCCCGCGTTTGTTCAGCTCCTGCAGCGCAATGCTGTGCCGCGAAGGCGACTGATGAGAGAGCGGTTCGGCGTCATCGCGACGCTGGGGCGCGGCTCCTTCGGTGAGGTACTTCTTGTGGAGGACAGGCAAGCCAACGGCGCGCTGGCGGTTGTGAAGCGTTCGCGCCGTTCGGAGGAGGAAGGCGGAAAGAAGGGCGTCGCCGCGGAGCAGCTGCTGCGCGCGGCCGTGACGGAGGCGCTCATCATGGCGAGGTTCAACGACGACGGCATCGTGCGCCTTATGGACTTTTGGTACGACGAGAGCGAAGGCGGCGTCTGCTTCCTGATGGAGTACTGCGCGGGGGGCGACCTCGAGATGTACCTGCGGCGCGCCTACCCGCTCAGCGAGGAACTGCTGCGGATGATGTTCCTCCAGTGCCTACTCGCACTGGCGCACATGCACACGAAGGAGGTCATCCACCGTGATGTGAAGCCGTCAAACATACTGCTAAGTGGTGGCAAGGGCAAGCTGCCGACGCTGAAGGTGGCCGACTTCGGCCTCAGCGCCATCTGCGACAGCAATACTACCGTGGACGCCTCGCTGTGCGTCGGCACGCCGCTCTACATGTCACCTGAGACCGTTGCGGAGGGAGTGTGCGGCTACGGCAGCGATGTGTGGAGTCTCGGCGTCGTCTTCTACCGCATGATGACGAACCGCCAACCATTCACCGGCGATGACTTCGACACGCTGCGGTTTTGCATCACGTCGATGGAGCCGCAGCACGCAAACCTGCGCTCGCCGGTGCGCTATTCGAGGGCTCTGGGCGACCTCGTCATGTCGATGCTGGCGAAGCATCCGTTCGTGCGGCCCACTGCGCGGCAACTCATCGCCTCGCCGCTCTTCACGCAGGCTCTCAGCCACAGCCCGTGGCGCAGCAGACCGCTGCGCGGTTCACTGTGCCTCTTCGTGTGCCATACCAACCACGCCGTGCACATCTTCGCCGAGCCGCGTGCGGATGCGGAAATCGTCGCCACGCTCAACTTCGCCGACCACGTCTTCGTCACTTGCGAGGTGCACACCCGCACCACGGCAGGACAACGCAGCATCTCGCGCAGTGGCGCCCGCGGCGTCTCGCCGGACACATCTACAGCAGCGGGCGACCTGCGGCAGGACGTTGCCGTCTGGTGCCGCGTCGTTGGGCCACGCGAGGGGTACTGCGCCAAGTACGATCGCGGCCGCGGGCTGCTGCGGCACGTCGCCGAC